CTATAAATAGCAAGTGGGTTTGACTACCCATCCAACAGGCTTCTGGGTGCAACATATTGATGAGGAATTCTCTCACCCTTTTGTTAAACATCCCTGGCCACAGAGGCTTGACGTATGATTCCCTTACTGATAAACATGCTGTGTATATCAACTCTGGTTCTCCTTGTGAAACTGTATCTGCCTGGTCTCCTAATTAACAGGTTCTAGGTCAAACTGGTGCAGCTCTATGACTGTGCTTTATAAATTGGGTCCCGTTTCCAGGAGAGTGCCCTGCCATTTTTGTTATGTGCATCAATGCCTCTATTCCTCTTTTCCAGTGTTGTCCAAACTTGGCCACTTTAAGATGAGTGGACTTCAACTCCCTGGAATTCTGGGAGTTGAAGTCCACTCAACTTAAAGTGGCCGAGTTTGGACAACACTGCTCTTTTCCTTTGTGGTAATTGGTTCCTTACTCTCTGTCCTGTGCTGTCTTCTTAAAAAGTTGTGATCTTTGGTACTCTGTGGGTTTACTTACGTATCCTTTCCTCTTTCTTTTGGAGGGAATTCAGATTTAGGGATCTGTGAACATTTTGCTTTCCTTTGCTCCTTATAGTTGGCAACCCAGAGGCCTAACGGTTAAGGTACACAGGCTTCATGGTCAATGTCCACATGCTCTCAACGTGAAGGCTCCTATCCTAAACATATCCTTGTGTTTGGGGACTATCTTGAACACAACATTTCTTCCCATCTCCAACTGGCTCTTAAGCTGAGACTTTTACCTTCATAGCTGGTGGGAGAACATCCCCCAATCGCTCTCACGTGCCTGGGGTGAGGCTGAGACATCTGCTCCAACAAATGGAGATTTCACTCGACTCTTCACCAGCTAAATGCGATTTTTATACTGTGCCTGATATCTCATCATTCTTCATTAATTCTTTCTATTAATTTCTACTATAATTTTAGAACCGTAACTGCATTTGTTTCCTCTTTCTTATAAAACAGCAGTAGTTGCCTAAGTAGAAAGCAGGACCTTCTCATATCTTTTTTGGTCAACAGGTTGTGTAGATCAGAAAGAGGACCTGAATATGTTCAATGGGACACGTTCAGCACTAATCATAACCGTTCTACTTTTTAATTGATCACAAACATTGTCATAGCACAATCTTGTCTTGCAGAGGGGAAGGGACTGCAACTCAGATATACAGTATTCTTCTTGTTCTAAGGATGTGTCCCTGCTGGGGGGATTCAGGGATGAAAGCTTGTTTCTATATACAGAAGCATCCATTTGAACTTCAGTCAGGGTTCCTCTCCCCTGGTATGGGGCATCTGACTAGAGGAGTTGCCTCTGCATATGTGGTCTGTGCATCTTTTGTCTATGACCATTTTTAACAGAATGTATCATTCTGCATAGAGCTTGAATCCTTAGTGTAAGTTTAGCTATACTGTACTGTTAAGCAGTATAATCTTAATGAAGTGACCAGGATTGTTTATTTGTGTTTTGATGTGCCCTGTTGGGTGCATTAATAGTCAGCAAACATATAGTTTGGGCCAGAAAGCCCTCGTACAATTTCCTAAGCTGGGTTTCCTGGCCCAAACCACAACTATTTTGCTCTTTGTAGCAAACACAACTTAAATTAATTAATTTACTTCAGTTGGCAAAATATCTTGAGCAAGCCCTAGAGATAGCCTTGAACACTATCTCTCAGCCTAATTTATCTCCAAGGCCGAGGATTATGATAAAATGGAGCAGCCTCCAGATGTAGCCTTCAAAACTCTGCAGAGAAAGTGTGTCTGGCTAGTGTAGCCTTCCTTCATGTGTGTGGGATGACAAATCCTACACTTCCTAGCTAGAATGCCCATCGGCATCAGGTTGCTGATGGCTGGGTTGATGTAATAATTGCATTATTAAACCTGGTGCAGAGATTTAAAAAGTGGTGTGCAATAGTCCAGTTCTTATTTAAAGCCATAAAACACTACAGATCTGTTAACCTTACTTCAGCAGAAAAATTACTACACTGGCCCTATGACTTTTTTTCTTGGAACTCTTTAAAAGTCTATTTTAGGATCATAGAGAGAATTATTGCTACCATCTTGCTCTAAACAATAAGACCCAGACACTGGGATTGCACACCATCTAATAGAACTGCTGGCTGAAATATTAATATGTCACCACCCTATTTAGGATTCAGATTTAGTAAATGCCAGTGTTTGCACCTTGTACAGTTTAGGATGTCAGCAGCCTCTCTGCCATTCCCCCTCCCATTATCCTCCCCTAGAAAGGCTTGGGGAGAACTGCAAGTCTCCATTAACAAAAGCCCTGCAACCATCCTCCCCTTTTCTCTTCTCTCACTTTGCATCCCTGCTACTGGCTCAATAATTGGGAGGAGGAAACATCTGGCCTTGAGTCTCACCTGCTGGGGAACCCAGGTAATCTTCAGCCTTCCCCCAGGAAGGAGGGGGCGTATACCCTGAACCAACTGAACACCGTATTTAACCACTGGTTGAACTTTTAGTATAAAAAATAGTGGGTGCATCACACGACCTGGGAATATACGTGGGGGTAATGCCAGGTGTAGAGATACTGAGGAGTTCCCAGGGAAGGCATTTCACAGACTGGTAAGTCAGTTTCTCACACATTTTTAATTGACAGTGTTTTGCACCCATGATTAATGAATTCTCAGTGTGTTGGGTATAAAAGCTTTACAAACTTGCCCCCTGGCACTGACATGCCATGGTGGAACATTGCATAGATACTTGGTGTCCATCCCAGGGAGCGTTGTGTGTTTACTCCTGTAAGTATTTGCCTTTAATAAAGCTTGTGATGATCACACTAGCTTTCAGCTCCCCTTTCTTGGAAATCTCTCATGGATATTGGCCTCTGGAGAGCATTTATATTTGTATTTACATGTGGGGAAACAGGGCAACCCAGTGCCAGGCCTACTTCAGGAAGCCATATTTAGAGCAAGTGATAGCCCTGCCTTTGTCCAGGACTGTCCTACATTTGGTCACAGGAAGAAAAACAATAGCCGCAATCAGGGTGCTTTCACACGAATGTCTCCCACCAATGTGAAGTCAAAAGGATGCTATTCTATCTTTTTCCACCCCTTACTGGATCTTCTGCAGTATATGAAAAAGATTGGAAAAGGCTTAGGAAAACCTATGAAGCTTACTAGGGTTGGACAAGACAACATCATCAAGATGTTCTGTTGAATTTTGTGAATTAAGCTCAGTGAGAGCCTCTTAGCTGGCAGCATTTCTTCCTCTCTTTCTCTCTTCTCTGGGTGTGAATAGGCCAGAACTGAACACTTAAACAATAATGATTCACAATTACTATAGCAAGGGAGAATCCTGAGAAGAAACGTGGCAATGTACAATTTGTCAGGTTCTGATTCTGATGGATACTACCTTCCATTGCAACAGAAGTGGTGATTTCACAGCCAATGAACCAATAAATCCTTCTCAGTCTAGTGCCAATCTTCATTAATTTCTTGACAACTGGGGCAACATTAGAACTTCAGAAACATTCAGTCCCATTTAAATATTTTGGAATGATTTTCCCCACGTGCTGCATGATCTCCTCGTACAACCAAAGGAAAAGATGGTGGGAGCTCTGCATTTTCAGAAATCAGTTAACTTGTACAGGTTCTTTTGAAGAATCAAAATTAAGGAGACCTTGAAAAAACTCCTGAGAAAAAGTTCATGAGGACCTTGTTCAGATATACTACAGATAAAAGAACATCAACCTGTAATTTCTAAATTAAGAAATGATATGGAACTAAAATTATCACCTCTCCCCTGACAGTCCATCTTAGGGCTTATGCTTATATCTGGATAACCACAGCATAAATGATACCTGACAAACTGTTTTAAATGTCTTCATTCTCATCCCCAGTCCACTCCAGAAGCTACCTATATTCCTTCTTAGCTGTTCCAGTGTTAATGTAGTGTTTTTCTTCTCCAGTGCAAGTATTGCCATATGAACAATTGATGGTGCTTCATTGATGATGTAGCTGATGATGTTGTCAGGGCCTGGGATCTGCCTAGTTCTCATTGGCTATTTTAGGCTGCTGCAGACATGCCCCCAACCCCACCAGTTGCTGAGCATGGTCCCCATGACCATTTTGGGTTGGGAAGCAGGAAAGACTGGATTCTGGGCCACCTTCTATGGAAGCCTCAGGCTGTGTAATGCCTGACTGGTGCTTTTGAGGAGTGGCTGGGTATTACATGGGCTGTTTATAAACACAGCTCTGCCACTCTTTTGAAAGAAAGGCAGATCTGTATTTAAAAAAGAAAAGAACACTAATTCTTGGATGTGAGGCTTGCATGTGAACATATGTGGGTATTATTGACCCTTTCTCCCTTTCCATCTATAGGCTGCCTGGGGAGGGCTGCAGATCATATTTATTTGAATGGCTACTACAAATCTCAAGAGTTATCTCTCTCCTTACACACATACCCCACATTCATCCAGAGGGACTGAAAGCCCACTTGTGGAGCTGATGTGAGATGGGGGCAAAGTGATCAGTTCTATGTTAACAACAACAACGATTTCTTCCCTTTTCTGAAAACCAATTACAGTAATTCCAGTTCAGCACATAAATCAGTTTCAAACCTGGCCTCGTCACTGAGGCAGGGTAGGAGTCAGCATCACGGGCTATGCAGTTTATGCCAGCACACTCTTCTTTCAAATCAAGGCCTGGAGGAAGCACTTTAACACTTCCTTGGAGAAAAAGCCCATAGTGTTGTATTCTTGAGACTGAGAATGTATCTGTTCTTAAATTCATGTTACATACTTCAGGTCTAAGTGTCAAGGCTGTTTTCTAGTTCTCTTTTTCTGTCACACATCCTCTGAATGAATAGATGGATTAATGAAATACAAACAAAAATGGCTCTTTTCCTCTTCCAGTGTGTCATTAACAATAATATTAGATATTAGGGCTTTAAGTGACCTTGTCTGTATTAATTGTGATTTCCCACATCTGACAACATTCCTTTCAGATATTGCTAAAACCAAAACTTACCATCTTCAGTCTCAGGTTCCTTCACCACTAGTTTCTCATTTTCTGATTCTTGGTCTTCCTCCTGAAACAGAAACATTAAACATAAAACAATTGCCAAACTATTGACAATCAAACCTCCCTGGAAACCAATCCAATCCATGTGGAACATCCTCTGAAATTATGGACAGAATTTTAGTTGGAACTCAGGAAAGGATCCCACAATAAACAAGTCTTGTTTAAAGAAATCATGCATTTGCCTGCATTTCCCCCCAGCTGTCCTTGTGGGCAAGAGGAATGGGCAGCTGCAATGTCTCTTTTGAATGTATCATCATTTTTTCAAAACAGGATGACTCTAAGGGCAAGCCAAGGATTTTACCAACAGAAACATCTGGTTTTAAAAAGCAAAGGAAAGCATGTTTAGTTCTTTATCTGCACGCACATATTTTTACACCTCCATTGGCTGACATGTACGTTTATTTTTTTCTCAAGCTGTTCTATCTGCTTCCCACCTGATGTCATTATATAATACATATATCCACCTTTGCTCTCAGATTCCTAGTCCCACCTTTTCTACCCTGGTGCAAACACTGGCATTCTACCTGCCCTTCCCACCTAAATGCATATACTCCCACACACATGTACATATACTATACTCATATGCTTCAGGAACTTAGGGTTACTTCCATTTTTTTTCCTCCAGAAACAAAAAATAATTTTTTGAGATCAAGGTAGCATTGTGAACACTTAGGTGCTTGTGAGCATAAACTCAAGAAGCACTTCTCTGTCTGTCTGTCTGTCTGAGCAAAGCATTCACATACTACTAGTGGGAAAGGCAGTGCATTAGAGTGAGGCTGGGTCCAAAACTCAGGACATGGACACTTTGTTGAAGAAAGCTGGTCACCCTCTGGTCGGTTCTGGCAAGAAAAGAGCCTAGGCAACCCCTGTGTTGTTTTGGAATGCCATGGAAGAATGGTAAGCAGGTGATCAGTAATTTGACTAAGCCTTCTCCAACCTGCCCCCCTCCAGCTGTTTGGGGTTCGACCCTCCTGTATTTCCCATCCAGCAAGTTGTGTAGAGGCAACGGAATGGCTTTATGCAATCAACATTTAATGCCCCCTAAAACTATTCCATTGGTTGAATTTGGCTCTAAAGCAACTGTCATCACTAACTGCTTGTTTATACAACCTGAAAAAATATACTTTACAGTTCCATGGGCATGATTCATAACTCCAAAGAGAATGAAAGCAGGAAAAAAAAAAGTCAGCTCCTGACCAGCCTGGAAACCTAGGCATTCTGCAATTTTGTACTTAGGCTGCAATTCACGCTGATTTTTTTTTACTCCCTTTCTTGTTTTTGGTTATTCTGGTTTTTTCACATTACATAGGGGCAGGGTAGTTATGAAGGAAAGGGCCATAATTAGGGTTGGGTCAAATGAAGAGCACATGCTGAAGATGGAGAAGGTTTCATGTTTAATCCACACCTGGCAGGGAGACCCTTCTCTGGCATTCTGAAATGGACTAGTGGTTTCCCTCATGGTATAAATCATCTTCCATCCTCCTGTGAGCAGCTGGGACTCTGTTATGAAGCATCTCTTCCATCCCCTAGATATTTCCAAGCCTGAAGGTGTTTCTTCTCTCCCAGTTTGAAATCTATTTCTATGGCTATTAGAGCGAGCAAAAAAATGCACAAAGGCCCCTCAGTGATTGGGTAATTTAATGAAAAAAATGAAAAGGAAGGAAAAACATCTGATCCCTCCAATCTGATCCTAAGCTGAGAAACAAAAATAAGGAATTATCCGCTTCCTTTCCCTTATTTGATAGATTATTCTAGACATGACCCAGAACTGTAGGGGGATGGGACCCTGATGCAACATTAACTCTTGGGATAAGAAGCACATTTTTGTCTGGTAGAGCTTCATATCCATCTTAAGCTGAAGAGACCCTCTCTCTATCCATAGTGAATCCTAGAAAATGTAGTTCCATGAGAGGGTGACTTAGAGATCCCAGGATTCTTTGGGAATCCTTAGGAAATGCTTCAACCATTTTAAGTCAAGGTATAATTGCATATGCTCATTGGAAGGATTGATAAGGAAGCTCAAGCTCAGATACTTTGGTCACCTAATGTGAAGAGAGGACTCTTTGGAAAAGACCCTGATGCTGGGAAAGATTGAAGGCAAAAGGAGAAGAGGACGGCAGAAGATGAGATGGTTAGATAGAAGAGTCGGACACAACTTGACGACTGAACAACAACAAATAATTGCATACAGTCTGGCTCAAGCTCAAGCTCAGATACTTTGGTCACCTAATGTGAAGAGAGGACTCTTTGGAAAAGACCCTGATGCTGGGAAAGATTGAAGGCAAAAGGAGAAGAGGACGGCAGAAGATGAGATGGTTAGATAGCATCACTGAAGCAATGAGCATGAACGTGAGCAAACTCAGGGAGGCAGTGAAGGACAGGAAGGCCTGGCGCAATATGGTTCATGGGGTCATGAAGAGTCGGACACAACTTGACGACTGAACAACAACAAATAATTGCATACAGTCTGGCTCCAAGTTTACAGGGGCATTCATGCACAGATATGCACTTTTTCATTGGTACTTAGTTGCTGGAATGCAAAATAACAATGCAGTGAGCAGTACTCATGTTCCCCTGGGCCTGGAGGGGAATGGAATAGTCAATCAGATTCCAGATAGTGGGTGGGCCTGCTTCTTTCTGGGCTCCTCAAATTTCCCTGGTTGGCCTCAGTGGGACAGGGGTTGACAGCTGCTACCATTTGCTAGGTTTGTACAGGATGGTGTGCACCCAGAGGGCCACCAGAGGAGACTGTCACTCTCAGTTAAGAGGACAAAATCAAGATGGAGAAGAGCCAAAGAGCAGAAGGGAACAAACCCCCAAGGGCCCTGCTGTTATCAAGATGAGATAAAACAGATACATTCTCCTTGCCCCAAAGGTCTTTGGAATTCAGAAAGTAGTTTTATAAAACCCAGGAATCGCTCCTGTTATCTCCAGACCTGATACAGCTGAAGGGCGTCACCAGGGAGGAATGTATACTGTTCACTAGCCTTCCCAGTTGCCTTTTACATTCACTCACCAACCCCAGCATCACTACTCCCTATACACACATATCTATTTTAGTACACATTTCCAAAAATGGAAGCTCCTTTTGCCTCTTCATTCACTTCTTTCCAAGCCCATATTTGGGGGGAAGGAAGTGTGACTCAGCAAACAGATTTGCTTAGATGTACTGTAGCTGGAGAAAGAATGACAGAGGCAAAGTGGTTTGGCTTGGTTCCTGTGCATGGTTAGGGGTGCACACCTGCCCAGAGCAGTGCTATCTTCTTACTAACGGGTTTTAAGCTGACACTCTAACATCTGATTCATGTTTATTCAGAAGCAAAATCTGTAACTGCAGATCAACCTAGCAGCTTTCCTTAATTTGTGCCTCCCGGATACATGTGTTTATTTAAAACATTCTTTATCTTCATCAGAAAACCACCTAGAATGCCTTCAGATATCAGTAGTGCAAACTTCCTGCTGCAGACTTCCAGCATAAGCGACGTTATACAAGCAAAAAGGGAAGGGCAAGAAAAAATCAAGCTCAAGCTCTTAAAGTTATACTCTTAAATCTAGGAGAAGCAGTTCTGTCACTAGCCCATAGCTGAGGGAGGCCCAAAAGCTGCCATTTCTCAGCGGAGGCAATGGAAAACCCATAATGCTCTTCTCTGCTTCACAGCTTGCTGGAAAGATCCTACTGGCCGAGGATGAACTACAACAGGCACATCTCAATATTCTGATCTCCTTTTCTTTGGTTTCACGTGTTAATGCACAACTATACGCACGGAAAGAGAGCACAGGGAAAAAAGAGTGCAGTTGTGAGATTTTGTTCTCACTGTACAGCTCTGTACAGACTCAAGTGGTGCTGGGGGCCGTCATGGTATTTCATAATAAAACCTCACAGCACACAGAGGCTTCCTTATTGTTATCATGCGTTGACTCTTCTGTAAGAAATTCCCATGAAAGGGAGAAAGGGAGGACAGGAAGAGAAAGTGCTTCAGCCCCTAGGGGAAAAAAAACACCAGCACAACTTGTTCAGGTCTCAGGCCTTCCCAATATTTGCTGACGAAGAATTTGAAAGTGGCATCAAAAGATGTGACAAAAAGGTTTCCTATAGAAAAGTGGGCTGTGGAATCCTTCCTGCCTGAAAGAGACAAAGTAGCAGAAGTCTGGGAGTGTCTGTAGGGCTGCTATGTCCCCAACAGTTTATGCAGCTGCTCCCACAGACAGTGATCGCTCGCTTGGAGGCTTAATCCAAAGGACCTCCTTACCCAGCTCCTGCCTGGGGTTCCACAACAGCAAGGACTCGGACCTATGGCTTTGCCATAGTTTGGTCTTCGTTCTTTGGATGAGCCTAATTCTTCAGCAGATCTCTCCCAGCACAGCAGAGTTTTACACCCAAATGTTTCTTAGGCTTTCTGTGTTTACTGCATTTTTAGGTTACACCCTCAGCTGCGATGAAATCGAAGACCCAGCTGTCAAAATGGGAACAGAAGCCAGCTCTCTGCCCCATCCCCCACCTACCTTCAGCAACCCTGCCTGGCAAAATCCTGCATCTTTTGTCCACCCCCATCCAGGCCTGGTTGCTGGAAAGGCACTAATAAAGGGGAATCAGGGAAAAATGCATACAACCACCTTCCCAAGCTGCCTTTGTTCAGAGGGGCTGAATTGCAACTCCTAGGATTTCTCCTCAGTACAGTCATAGGAGCTATGGTCCAATAATTGGGGAGCAGCTCTACACTGGGAAAGGTTAGCACAGAGAAATGTGGGTTGATCTATAGTGACTTGGGCTCAGTACAGATCCTTACCTGGAGCTGGCAGAGACTGATCGTGGGCTTTTCTGCATAGAAGTCACCCGGATTATTCCTGAGCTAGAATGGAAGTTGCTTGGGGAGAAGGTTCAGATGGGTCCTTGTTTTGATGTATGCTTAGGTGATGGAAAGAAGACCTAGGATACTCAGACTTTGATGTCTATTAATGGTATGCTGAATATCACTTGCCTTCTTCTCATTATGAATTTGTAAAACC